TCTAGTAATGTTTTTACTTTATCCTTGTAATTTTACAACTTTATTCTAGTCATTTTTCGACTTTATTCTAGTAATGTTTTTACTTTATCCTTGTAATTTTACGACTTTATTCTAGTCATTTTTCGACTTTATTCTAGTAATGTTTTTACTTTATCCTTGTAATTTTACGACTTTTATTCTAGTCATTTTTCGACCTTATTCTCGTAATTTTACGACTTTATTCTCGAAATAGAAGAAAAACAAACCTGAAAAAAAAAACCTAATACTCCGTCGTATTTTCTCTAATATTTTAGACTTGAGGAATTTAACGTCTGATTGCTGCTCTTGGAAACATTATTTAAGCCACTCACCATTGCCAGAGGAAGGATTGCCTGGATGTCTTTCTGAACCACTGTGAGCTCCGTTACGACCTTTTCCGAGTCGGGCACCGGGTTCTGTCCCTTATAGTCGATGTTCCAGTTGATCCTCCTGGTCACGGAGAGGCTGGTGAAGTTCTCCATCTCAAAATCCAACTGCATAACCTCAATGTTCCCCAACACATCGCTGCAAAGTCATAAAAAAAAAAAAAAATACACACAAAATAGGATCAGATGACATGAAAATTCCTGCAGGCCACAGAGAGGAGCTGTGATTTTTCTAGAAAAAAGGTAAATGACAGGATATAGCTTATAATTAGTGGTGTTACAGTGTTTAATATGCAATATGTATTGAGTAAGACGTTACTCCCCTCCACTGTTAACGATGGCCCCAAGTCGCCCGTTAAGTAAAGAAATATGGATTTTCACATTAAAGCCAGATTCATAGAGACACTTGGTGGCTTTAAGTTGGCAATTCTTCACATTCAAGACTATATGAGAACAGAAGTGTTAACGCTTTTAAACGGTAATGTTCTATTCATCTGTTTTGACTGATAACATAAATTAGTTTCAACAAGTGTGAGAAAATAAATTAAATGTCTTATTTTGTTTTCAGCTCAATTCACTGGCATTTATTCCAGCCTGTATTCTGTAAGTTGTCAAACACATTATTTTATCCCTTTTCATTCTGTCTTCAGCAGCATAAAGAAACTTCACTTTGATTTGGATAAGAACATTTTGCACAGCAGCTCACGTCTTAAAAGTCACTGCGAACTCTTTTACTTTTTAAATAACATAAAAAAAATTGCCTTGCTCGTAGGGATTTTACTTGGATAGGAAACATTTTTTAACTAATTGGATTTATATACTGTATTTTTAATCAAGAGACTGATGAAAAGCAAGACAAACATCAAGTTTGATTCTTATTTTTTATTTTTATGAGGATAAAAATGGTATTTTTTAAACTTTACTCAGACTTGCAAAGGCAAAGAATAAGAAGTTCCATCAGATGGGACTCAAGAACCAAAAAAGGTGTTTGTCATTGTCATCCTCTTTATTAAAACTAAATCCTAGACAGCAGGCTGCTCTATCCTTAAGTTCAAAGTTCATAAACTGAATAAATAATTCCTGATGCACATCGGAAAATTAAGAAAGAGACAGTAAAACCTAACAGAGAAAAAGTGGAAAAACGGATCTGTTTTATTGCAATATTTGCAAGATGATGTTATGAAGTACTACCTACTCATTGATCTAACCCATATTTTCTGAGGTATACACTGAAAAAACGATCTTAAAAAAGGTAAAAATTTCTTAAATTAAGTGTATTTATCCTTAATTTGAGTTGGTAAATTAGATAGTTTGCCAATGGAGTAAGTATTTTTACTCTTAAAATAAGATATTTAGATAATATGCACTTGGAATAAGACAATGCAATTATGTTTTCTTATTTTAAATCTAAATAGTCTTGTTCCATTGGCAAAATGTATCTTTTATCTCCTCAATCCAAGAACAAATGCACTTATTTTAAGAAAAAAATTACTTATCTGGATTTAGATTTTTTCCCGTGTAAAACTGTGTGTTTAAACTCTGTCAGGGTGTTTTGCAGAAAAGATAGCTG